TAATTAGGCACCAAATAAAATCCCCATACATTTGCTATTTTAGACTCAGAACTGAACTGTAATTTATTTCTTTTACTTATAAGAAGTTAAAATTAAATTATCGCTAAATCGAGTAGTCCATAAATTGGGTTCTATTTCCAAACATGGCCCTAACTAGGCACTCAAAAAAATTCGCATAATACTTTACTTTTATATTATCAAAATTTAAATTCAACGATAATTTTCTTCTCCTACTTATAAGACATTAACAATAAGTTATTGCCATTCGTGTCCTGTAAATTGGGTTCAATTTGAAACCTGGCCTTAACTAGGTCCTGAATAAAATTCCCCTACTAATTTACTTATATAATTATTGATTTCAAATTTCAATATAAATTTTTTACATATTTATAAGAAGATGAAACTAAATCCAGTCGTTCGAATTAGGTACCTTTTCCAAACTTGGCCCTAACTAGGCACCAAATAAAATTCCCATAGTAATTTACATTTATAATTTTAGATTCAAAATTCGACTATAATTTTTTTTTTAATTACAAGAAGTTGAAACTAAATTATCGCAAATCCAGTTATTTATTTGAATTGGGTATCATTTCCGAAATTGGCCCTAACTAGGTATTAAATAAAATCCTCATAATTATTTACATTTGCAATTTTAGATTCAAAATTGAACTATAATTTATTTCTTCTGTTTCCAAGAAGTTAAAATTAAATTATCGCAAAAGCGAGTCGTCCAAATTAGGTTCTGTCTCCAATCTTGACTCTAACTAGGAAATTAATAAAATTCCCACAATACTTTACTTTTACAATTTCGAAATCGAAATTCAACTATAATTTTCTTCTCCTATTTATAAGGAATTCACACTAATCGATTGCCATTCGAGTCATCAAAATTGGGTTCCATTTCGAAACCTGGCTCAAACTAGGCCCTAAAGAAAATTCCCCCCACTAATTTACATTTGTAATTTAATATTTGAAATTCAAATATAATTTCTTTCTCGAACTCTATTTTTAAAATCGGCCTCAAATTTTCGTCCGGGGACTAAAGGGTCACTTTAATCCCCGGACGAAAATTTCCTCCCAGTCATGTATCGAATTTAACCTTTTCGTGTCGATATACACCAAATTTAATACGATTTCTCTCATCATCACTTCGATCATTGAGAGATGATTTATGGTAATCTTTCAGCCCATGTCGTTTCCCCCCAAATATATACACATATACACAGTTATACACTTAACTCATATCAGGTATTTACCACGATCAGTTACCTGGATGCTTGTGTACGCTCTTTCCCTTAAAGCTCAACCGTCATTTCCCTAAATCGATTCGTTAATACGACGAGGATTTCCGGTCCGGTAAGCGGATGCCTCGACGAAAGAGCGAGGGAGTTGGGGGCAGGATGGGGGGGGGGTTTGAGGGCTTTTTGTAATCCCTCAACGAATGGACTACACGAAAGCGATAACGGATTATGTGAGAATGATAACGGGTGCAGGTGCCGACGAGAGCTGCCAACTGTCTTTATAAACGGTATCGATCTAACGAGCATTTAAGAACACCCCACCCCCTCACCCCCCCTTCGCGTATTGCCATCGATGATTGATGTAACTTTGGTATGCCTAGTCAGCTTATGCCAATTCCATCTTTAATCGACCCTTTCATCTCTCCCCCTTTTTCCCTCCTCTCTCTTTCTCTCTTATCGGTATTTCTTTTTCTTCCACTATCATCATGTAATCGATTTGCGATAATTTATTTTTAACTTCTTATAAACGGGAGAAAATAAATTATATTTAAATTTTGAATCTCGAATTATGTTTATACTTTCCAAATTAGAATTAGTGACTGACTTTTTGCTTTCAAATTAGTAAGCTTTACTAATAAATTAGTATACACGGAGAAACTTTATTCCTGAAATTTTACTGAATTTAGTTCAGTAAAACTGGGATGAAGTGTCAAAACAGTAATTTTTCAAGAACTAGACTGTAAAAGAAATTGCATTGAAAAATAATGTAAAAATCATAAAGCTCACGATACATGTATTAGCGCTTCACTTACAGTTCGGTAAAACGTAAGCCAAGTGCTCGCTACATTCATATTTATTGAATAGTTCGGTAAAACGTAAGATAAAGTCTTCGGTAAAACTGACGAGTTGCAATTTATTGAATAGTTCGGTAAAACGTAAGTTAAAGTCTTCGGTAAAACTGACGAGTTGCAATTTACTGAAAGTTCGGTAAAACTTGAAGAACAAAAATAAAAAATAATGTTACTTCAGTAGATCTATATTAATACTGCCGTAACTCTCAATTTACCTACTTTAATCACTACCTAAACCCCCTACAATTGTTTACGAACAAATACTAATTGATACACCTGCCTACAGTACATTCTAAACGCATACACTAATACACACATCGCACGCTTTACATTAATGCTTCAGAAAGTTTCAACTGTCCTTATATATTAATCTCAATTTTATTTCACCGCTTGTGAGAAAGATTCAAATTAATAAACTATCGTTGTACAAAATTAAAAATTATTTATATTAATGAATCATTTCTAACTATATTCAAGGTCAATTTATGAAATATTTTTAAATTATGTTTTTATTATTATAAAGAAAAATGTTTAAATTTGTATTTAATGGAATAAAACAATAATTTATGAAAATCCTTATTATTCTCAAATTTTTGTGCTTAAAATTAAAAATATACATATTAAAAGTGCAAGTTGGAAATTATTAAATTAATTAATAGAAAATTAATCTTTCTGAAATATTAAATAATAATTGTGAGGTATTAAAAAGCGAAAAGGAAATAAGCAAGTAAGCAAATAAAGAATAAAGTAAGCAAGAAGGAAATAAGCAAGTAAGAAAGTAAGCAAATAAGAAAGTAAGTAATCAAGAAGGAAATAAGCAAGTAAGAAAAGTAAGCAAGGAGAAAATAAGCAAGTAAGCAAAGTAAGTAAGAAGGAAATAAGAAAGTAAGCAAGTAAGCATATAAGGAAGTAAGTAAGCAGAAAGGAAACAAGCAACTAAGCAAGAACAAAATTAGGAAGTAAGCAAATAAGTAGGTAAGCAAGTAAGCAAAGTAAGCAAGAAAGAAATAAGCAAGTAAGCAAAGTAAGCAAGAAGGAAACAAGAAAGTAAGCATATAAGGAAGTAAGTAAGCAGAAAGGAAACAAGCAAGTAAGCAAGAAGGAAATTAGGAAGTAAGCAAATAAGTAGGTAAGCAAGTAAGCAAAGTAAGCAAGAAGGAAATAAGCAAGTAAGTATGCAAATAAGAAAGTAAGCTAGTAAACAAGCAAGTTATTTCCTTTTTGCTTACTTGCTTACCTACTTATTTACTTACTTACATACTTACTTATATGTTTAATTGCTTACTTATTTATTTCCTTTTTGCTTACTTACTTATGTTTATTTGCTTACTTACTTACTATTATTCATATTTAATTAAAATGAATAAATTATATGTTAAAAAAATAAGTATGTTATTGCCATTTTATATTTTCTTTTTACTTGATTTAAAAGCATTTATTACATATTTGGCAATTAATAAGTGTTTAAAATAATTAATTAATTGAATTTTAATTTAAATAATAATAAAATGATTATTAATTAAGTCTAAATAAGTTGGAAAAATCAACTATTAGTGTGAAAGTCTTTCATTTGACTGCGGGACACTTGAAATAAAGTATTTCAATCCAGAAAACTAAAACTTTAGGCAAGTCAAGGAAGTTTTACCGAACTATTCCTGAAAACTAACACTTTAGGCAAGTCAAGAAAGTTTTACCGAACTATTCCTGAAACGTTAGTGCCCATCAAGGAGGTATTTATTTAATTTACATTAAACGTTCAGTTTCAATTTTTTTTCAACTTTTACAGTACTAGTTCTTAAGGAATAAAGATATCACATTAGATTTTAAATATTGTTACCGAAAAAATAATATAAAAATTATTAAAAATTACGATTATGCTACTATATCCCAAGTTTATTGAAAAATTCGGTAAAATGTAAGGAACAAATTTTCTCCGTGTAAAAATTAGTATTATTAGTAAAATTTACTAATTTTACTTATTAAAAACGAATTAATAAGTATTTCTAATAAATTAGTAGAAATTAGAAATTACTATTTATTAGTAATATTTACTTTATAAATAATTATAAATTAGTAAATTTTACTAATAAATTAGTAGTATTTACTGTTTATTAGTAAAATTTGCTTTATAAATTATTATAAATTAGTTAGTTTTACTAATAAATTAATAGAAATTACTATTTATTAGTAAAATTTACGAATTCAAAAGCAAAAAGTTACGAATTCAAATTAGTAAATTTTTAATTAGTAAAATTTACTAATTCAATAGCAAAAATTCAGTCTCTAATTCAAATTAGTAACCAATTTTACTTACTCAAATTTAGAGCGTATAAAAACAATTTTAGATTCAAAATTAAAATTTAATTGTTTTCACATACTTATAAAAAGTTGAAAATTAAATATCGCAAATCAATTACCTACATAAGAAATTCCGATAAGAGAAAATAAAGAGATTGAAAGGAGGGGGGAGAGTTAAAAATTAGTAGAAATTACTATTAATTAGTAGAAATACATATATAAATATTATTTAATAATAAAATTTAATAATTTAATTAAAAAAATTCAGTCAGTTATTCAAATTAGTACATTTTTTTATTAGTAAATTTTACTAATAGATTAGTAGAAATGACTATTTATTTGTAAAATTTACTAATTCAAAAGCAAAAATCTTATTAATTAATTTTTGAATTTGAAATTTTGATTTAAATTCGAATTTTATTTGGAGCCTAAAATTCAAAACGCAGCTTTCGTTGTGATCTTGGCCCAATATTGGCGTCATTATTTACCCTCAATACTTGTTAATACCAAATATAATAATTTAAACTTTTTTATACTTTACCGATAGAAATATTATTTTCTCAAACTTCTAAACTTGTTTGTATTAAAAATAATTTTCTTTTTGTTTCAGATCGACCCAAAGGTAGCATTTCCCAGGAGGACACATCCAAAGGTGAGTTTTTAAAGAATTTTCTCCAAGTGTGAATAAATATTAAGATAAATAATTTTTAAAAAAATTATAATTTTAAGCGGAGGGTGCACCGATATTTTTAATTATATGAAGAAAATAATTTAAATCTTCCATAAAATTATTTTTATCACAATTTTTTGAGAGGAATTCAATGTTCATAAAATTCGGTCAGAAAATATGTTGACCCTTTTTGAATCTTTATTTTTTCTTAAAAATAGTAGATTTTAAAATCCATTCGTAATTTTGTAGAAAATACAATTTTAATACTAAATGTAGTGTTAAAATCACACAGTATCGTTTAAAAAATGTTGCGTGTAGTTTAACACCACAATTGGTGTTAAAATAACACTTCAATTTTCTGTGATAATATATTATAATTATAATTTAACAATTATAATCTAACAACTTACTATAATTATAATTATTAATATATAATTCTAAATATTAAAATTATAAACAAGATTATAATAAAATATTATAAAAATAATTTATTCATTATAATAATTAAACTATACAATTTTTTATAATTAAAATTATAAAGACAATTACAGTTTCAAATAATTAGATCAATTTTTCATTTCACAAGCTTAATCCATAAATTGAAGAATTTCAAAATTGAAAATTTCTGCTTTAAAAAATTATACCCAGTATTAGCAGTATAGTAGTAGTTTGGAATGAACAAAAAAAGAATGAAAATGAAAACGAAAATGAAATATGAATAATGAATAAGGGAATTTAAGTTCGTATATTAAAAGTAATCAGTCTCTAATTCACTGTCAAAATTGAAAATAATTTTCATTCCGTGCAGGTGTGGTTATACATAGTTGTTAATCTTGGTCTGTGAGACTGTTAAAAGTGATGGAACGAGAGAGAAAAGAGAGTGAGAGAAAGAAAGAAAGAAAGAGGGAAATTTGCGCAGCTTAATAATATAAATGCCAGGCACGCGAATTACTGGAGAGTGACTGAATTGCGCTAATTTTAATTGTACCCTTTTTTGTCTCCTCTCTCTCTCTCTCTCTCTTTCTATTTCATTGCCTTTTCTCTCTCTCACTTTTTTCCTCCTCCTCGTGTTGCACGTTCATTTCTCGTTTTCTCTCTTTTTCTCTTCTGCAATGCGAAAGCTCTTTTCAACCACTCTTTTTCTCCATTCCAATGTTGTATCCTCAAACGGCCGACATTTTCACCTTTTGTGTCGTTTAATAGCAAAAGGCGAGATCGCATACTTTACACAATGTTTCTGTGAAGTGGAATTTGGTCGATTCAAGTTAAATCATTTTAGAATTTTCATTTATATTTCTACTTCATTTCACTTTGGGAAACGTTTTCGGTTTCAATTTTCACGGATTTTCTATATTCAATTGCAAAAGTTTCTTTTTTTTACATTTTTTTCTCATATTTTTTTTTTTTGCGAGGATTTATTCCTTGTCATTCATGTACGTATATATATGTATGTATGCGTATATTTTAAATTGAATTTGTAACATTCATATGACCTTATTTTCACAGTCGAATAATCTTATCGAGAAAATGAATTTTTAATTTTTTTTTTCATTTCTATTTTCCGTGTGTAAGAATTTTTACTATATTTGGGGCCGAATTTAGAAATTAGACGACCTATTGAACTTTCTTTACAACTTTTTTTAAAAGTTAGGAAAAAAAATATCTGATGAATAACAAATATTTGTAATAAATAGTAGGAAATAATAAATATTAGTAAACAATAGCAAATAAATAATAATAAATAAATAATAATAAATAAATTATAATAAATAACCAAAAAAATGCAGTCAATAATAAATTTCTTTTTGATTGAATGAATGCAAGAATGTGTATCTTCTTTTTTTATTTTTTTCTGTAAATAAAATCTATTAAATCCGTGAGGAATGTAATATATATATTTTTGTGTAATGTCGGGCCAACTGGAAAGTGTGCAATTTTTATAAAAATGAGAGCACAGTGTGCCCTTACTTTGAGACTTTTGCTTGAAAAAGTAATACATGAGCACCATTTTTTTTTCTCTCTCTTTTCTGATCCAAAAAGCTTGCAAGCTACTTTTCCCTTCTTATTTTTTTCTTTTCTTCTTTTTTTTTTTTGCTTGAATATTATATACATAAAAATTTCATTTCTGTGTGCGTAAAATGTATAAAGACGATAACTCTCGAGCACTGAGATTCGGTAGTTGTACGATTTCATTTTTCTTCCTCCCTTACACCACACCACCAGCGCCACCACCACCCCCTCCAGCAGGTTGTGAGCGCAGCTATAGTGAATATGATTTTTCATAAAGTGAAAAGTGACACGCGAAATAAACGCACTTATATAATGTATCCGTTGGAAACAGCGAAAGGTACTTTGAGAATATTGCCAGAGTTTTCAGCCCGTAAACACTATAAGAGAAATGGATTATGTAAAACACAAACTGTATACCCGTATGGAATTTATACGATAAAGATAGTTTTCATTGAAATGGAGAAGTGAGTTTTTTTTATTCCTTCTTCTTTTCTTTTTATTTTGGAGGAATTACAAATTATGACAAAATATTCTTCGTCTGCTTGTTTATCTGAATTTTGCGTACGAGTGCATTTTTCTTAATTTTTGAAATTTGTTTTTTTTGTATTCATTTATTTTTTTATCATTTCTTTTAATGTCTTCTTAATTATTTTTGCATTATTTTTCTAATGTTTTTTCATCAATTTTATATTTTTTAAAATTATTTTTATTTTCCCTTCGAAAGATTTTTGTTTTCAGTTCTATTTTCACGTTTTCATTTTAAGTTTTTTTTTTGCACTTTTGCTAAAGTGAAAGTGAAAATAAAAATTTGTCAAAATGAAATTAAAAACGAAACTGAAAATAAAAATTTGTCAAAATGAAATTGAAATTGAAAAGGAATGTGAAAATAAAAATTTGTCAAAGTGAAATTGAAATTGAAACGAAAGTGAAAATTAAAAATTGTCAAAGTGAAATTGAAAATGGAAGTGAAAACGAAAGCGAAATTAAAAAACTGCCAGAGTAAAAATAAAAGTGTAAATAAAAACTTGTCGAGGAGAAATTGAAAATGAAAGTGAAAACGAAAGGGAAAATAAAAATTTGACAGAGTAAAAATGAAAATGAAATTAAAACAAAAATAAAAATCTGCCAAAGTGTAAATGAAAGTAAATGTAAAAATCCATCAAGTGTGAGTTAAAAACAAAAATTTATCAAAGTGAAAGTGAAAGTTCTTTTATTTTTATTTCCTTTTTATCGTCATCATTATTTCTCCTTTTTTAATAACTTTTCCGTTTTTTCATTTCTTCTCCCGTAATTTTTATCCAAGAATGCAAATTATGGTGAAAGGAGAAAACAAAGAGAAAAAAAAATTTTTTCCCCAAATGATCTTTTTGCAGAGACGTTTTGAAATTTGAAGATGATCTTTAAAGACTTCAATTAAAATACTACCTTTCATAAATTTACGTATTCTGAACTTTAGAAAGGAAATGTTTCTCCGAGAGAGAGAAAGTTCAGTCAAATGTCGTAGTTGTCGACTGTGCGGACTGGCACGATTCTAAGGGTGACGGAACTGCTTTGTTACTGCTCTTCCGGTCCAACGGAAATGACGCAGGGCACATCCAACATGACAAAAGTAATAGTGGTTATTACAAAGCTCCCTTTTTGGCAATTTCTGTCTCTATTGTGTTCATTTAACTCGAAATTATCTCTTAAAAGTTGTATTATTCAAAGATTATAAATACGTCCCTTTGGAAAACGTATTTTCACTATCACAATGCGCGAGAAACAATATAATTCAAATTTAGCGCATGTATGCTCTTTCAATTGGGTGTGTAAAACATTTGATTTGAATTTTTTTTCCTGAAAACTATTTTGCGCCAGGTTTGTGCCCTGTTTGACCCTGTTTGACCAATGAGTACCATCTGTTTTTGGTAAACGTTTTTTTTTTGGGAATAATTTGAAAGAGTTGTTTGACGGTGCTTGAAATTGGGTGTGTAACACTAGGTTCGGTTTGAACCTAGTCTGAACCTTGTTTGAGCCCGGTTTGTGCCCGGTTAGATCCTTAATATACCCTCCGTCGTAGAAATACGTATTTTCGCTGACAATTTAAAATACTAAAGTTTGAGTGTTCTTACAATTGGATGTGTAACACTCGACCCGGTCTAAAACTGGTTTAAGCCCGGTTTGCGCCCGGTTAGACACTTAGAATACTCTCCGGTCTATAAATACGTATTTTCGCTCACAATTTGAAACAGTAATGCTCACAATTAAGTGTGTAATACTCGGCCCGGATTGAACCCTACTTGGCCCCTACTTGAACCCCACCTGGCGCTAACCGGGTTCAATCAGGACCCGATTGTAAAGTCCTGAAATAGAAAAGTATTTTCTCTTCGATTTTTGCTTCATAGCTTAAACCTAATCTTGTTTGAGACACAATACGTGATTTAAGCCCACCTTCGAGTCGACCTGGCTCTATCCTGGCCCAATCAGGGCAGGACTAATCCTAGCTTTATTAGGGTCTAAACGTAGGACTACTAAAAATTATTGGAAACACTTCCGGAAGTGTTTAAGTGGGGTATGTAACAAAAGACCTGATTTGGACCCTTCCTGGTCCTATCTTGGCCCAAACAGGGCCTGCTCGTAATCGGGCGGAAATAGGGCCGATCAGGCTAAATAAAAAAAATTGGTCGTAATTTCCACTTGTTATAGTAAATAATTTTAATAACAAATTATTTAAAAACAAATAGTTCGACGATCGGTATCAAAATAACAAGTATCAATCAAACTATGAAGGGATAAGTTGACAATTTGGCATCGGTGATGGCAATTTAGTCACTGTGAATGGGAACTGGCAATAGTTACGAACACAGCAGTATAATGCCCACTTGTTACTGAGTGGCAATAAGTATAGACGTGTCTATAGACGTATAGATGTATATATACATATATATATATATTTAAGTATATATATATAAGTATATATATATATATACATA